GCTGAGGATGGGATGGGATGGGATAGGATGGGATGGGATGGGGGCAGAAGGTGGCTGGTGGCAGCATCCTACAGGCATGGCCACTGGAGCTGCATGGGGTCCCGGTGTACTGTGTGGTTCAGGAGTCACTTGGGCAGGAATTGCCCAATGCTTGGATAATGGGATCTGTTACCCATCCCTGAGATGGGTAGGAGAGCCTGCTGCCCCCAGCCCCATTTCTCCTGCAGAGGACAAGGACTACAGACAGCAGGCAGCTGTGCCCCTGGAGGCGGAGACCCACAGTGGGGAGGATGTGGTGGTGCTGGCCAAGGGCCCCATGGCCCACCTCTTCCACGGGGTGCAGGAGCAGCACTATATTGCCCATGCCATGGCCTATGCTGCCTGCCTCGAGCCCTACGCTGCCGAACCTGGGTGCAGGGCGGCCCGCAGGGCATCCCATGGCACCCTGTGCTCTCCACAGCCCCTGCTCGCCCTCCTGGCCCTGTGCGTGGCTGCCTGCATGGTGGGGAGCTGAGAGTGAGAGCCCCCCGCCAAGCCCCACTTCAACCTGGATGCCACCCCATCAAGGGTCTTGGCAGCTGGGTCCCAGCCATGGCCAGGATCAAGGAATGCAATAAAACACGGTTGTTTGACTCCAATTGCAGTGCAAGGATTTGCAGGAGCGGTCACCTCCTCAGGCATTGCCCCATCCCCAGGTGGTGATGGCTCCTAGTTCCTCCCCTGGGACCAGCACTGAAAGCATTGTGGTGAAGGAAGTGGTGAAATGAGGGTGAGAGGAGGCCATGTTCCCCCCCAGTTTTGGCAGGCTGGGGCACAGTACACAAAGGTTGGTACTTTCCTGCAAGGACTGAGCAAGGAGCAGGGTTTTAGTCCACATCTGTGGATTTATTGCACAAGTAAGTGTTATGCTTGTTACAGGAGTGACCCTAGGTGCTCCCGATACCCCTGTCACCCCAGGTCCAATGCTCAGCGCTGTCTGTAACACCCTGAGCCAAGGCATCCACCTGCTTGGCACCACAGCCCTGTAGGCTGGGCAGGTAGTGATGCCTGCCAGGCACTGCCCATCCTCTTGCCCCCTGCATCTGTTTGTGCCCCAAGTCCATCCATCCACCAGCTGCACCATGGAGGCACCAGCAGCCCAGCCCATGGCCTTTGTGCTGGCTGCCTGGCAGGACACTGGGCTATCAGGGACATACCAAATGCCTCTACACACCCTGCAAGGGCTGATACCGGTTCAAAGTCCCTCCCCAGATCTGCTAGAAATGCAGACACTACCAGTGGTGCTGCTGGATCTCACCATGAAGCTCCCAGCACTTCTCATCCTCTGCCTGGGCCTCCAGGCAGAGCTCAGCACTGCTGTCATCCCAGGTGGGGACAAGGATGGGGATGGGTGCCTGGCTGACTGTAGCAGGGCATTGGTCAGGGCACCAGCCTGGCTGGCCACAGGGAGGGTTTGGGGAGGGAAGCAGGTGCTTTCCAGCTCTGCAAGGGTTAATGGCTTTACCTGTGCTTTTCTGGGGTACTTGGACCAGTTTTTCCCTGTGGGGTCAGGTTTCCGCTTGTTTCTAGGCTGGGAGGGTCTGGGGGAAGTGGCCGTAGCATTCCCCTCTTGCCATGGATTTGGCCCCATCCCACCTGCCAGATAACTCCCCACTGTGTCTGTTTTCTCTGCCTTTCTCCTTCCCTGTCCCAGGACCCCTGGGTCAGGCAGTGGGTGCAAGCCCACATGGTCTTCTCTCACCAAACAGCACCCTGAGCTACTCAGTCCATGCTAGAGGAGTCCTCAGCATGGGGATGCCCAGGGAACAAGTACTGGAGGGATATGGGTACCCCAGGGATGCATGAGCCCCAGGGATGCAGGTGCTGGTGAGCTGGGACTGACAGGTACTGCCCCGTCCCAGTGGAGGAGGAGGATCCAGCCTTCTGGAACAGGCAGGCAGCTTCAGCCATTGAGGCCTCCTTCAAGCTGCAGCCCAGAGTAACCGAAGCCAAAAACCTCATCATCTTCCTCGGGGATGGTGAGTCCCATTGGCACACGCAGCAGAGAAGCTGGCATGGACAGTGTCCCGTGGAGCGGGATGTGGGGAGGGAACCTGGTCCAGAGGGTGACTGGGACCATCTCTTCTCACCCAGGATTCGGGGTCCCCTCCATCACGGCCACCCGCATTCTAAACGGGCAGCAGCAGGGGAAGTTGGGCCCTGAGACCCCCCTCGCCCTGGATTCTTTCCCCTATGTGGCTCTCTCCAAGGTAAACTTCCATCACACTGGGCATGGGGCCAGGGTGATGTCAATGGGTCTGCTGGCACAGATGCACATACGGGGTGCATGGGGTCCCTGCTCATCCTGCACTTGTCCTTGGGTAAGCAAGCGAAGGAGTGTGGCGTGGGGTGCTGGGAGCAGGGCAGCCCACTGGGTGCTCCTGCCAACTGCCCCCCTGCCCTGAGCCTGGCATGTGTCCTTGTCAGACATACAGTGTGGACCGGATTGTCCCTGACAGCGCATCCACATCCACAGCCTACCTCTGCGGCGTGAAGGGCAACTACCACACAGCAGGAGTGAGTGCAGCCGCTCGCCTCTCTCAGTGCAACACCACAGCAGGCAATGAGGTGGTCTCAGTGCTGGAGCGAGCACGCAAAGCCGGTAACAGGGGGTGCAGCGCTAGGAAGGACCCCATGGGGACGAGGGGTGTCACACCAGGGGCTGCCATACCATGAGCATCCCAGGGCTTGGTGGTGGGGGATACCATGTCAACCTTTCTGGGGCCTGGTGTGTGTGGGCCACAGGGAAGGCAGTGGGCATAGTGACAACATCACGGGTACAGCACGCATCACCGTCGGGGGCCTATGCCCATGTGGTGGACCGCAACTGGTACGCGGATGTCAGCATACCCGAGGAGGCCCGTCTCCAGGGCTGCAAGGACATCGCCTGGCAGCTGGTCCACAATGTCGACATCAATGTGAGTGCCTGTGCATGGGAGGGAAGGAGCAGGGACAGATCCCTCCTGGGCACCCCCACTAACACTGCACCCAACTCATGCCCTCCAGGTGATCATGGGGGGTGGTCGGATATACATGACCCCCGCAGGGACGCCAGACCCTGAATATCCCACCTATGAAACAGAGAATGGGATACGGGAAGATGGAAAAAACCTCATCAACATGTGGCGGGAGGCACGGCCGGTGTGTGATGCAGCAGGGACAGTCCTCTGCCCAGCATCCCCAGGCATGGGGTCCAGCACCCACTTACTTAACCCCCTGTGGGATTTGTCCACAGGGTGCCCGCTATGTCTGGAACAGGACAGAGATGCTGGCTGCTGCTGCTGACCCCAACGTGACTTATTTGATGGGTAACAAATATCCCATGTGCCGGGATTTTATAGCTGCCAGGATGCATGCAGGCATTGAGACCATCCCCAGTGTGTCCCCTCCCAGGTCTCTTTGAACCCATGGATATGAAGTATGACCTGGTGCGTAACACCACCCTGGACCCGTCACTCACTGAGATGACAGAGGCAGCCATCACCATCCTGAGCAGAAACCCCAAAGGCTTCTTCCTGTTTGTGGAAGGTAAGTTGGGGCTGGTGCCCTTGGGGTCAGCAAGAGCAGGGGGTCCCATTGTCCTGGGATAGAGTTATGAGTTGGGGGTGCTGCCATCAGTACCCAGCCCACCTTGGATGCCATTTGCAGGTGGCAGGATCGACCATGGCCACCACGAAGGTGCAGCCCAGAAGGCACTGACAGATGGGATTGCATTTGATCAGGCCATTGACCGGGCGGGCATCCTGACAGACGAGGAGGACACCCTCACCGTGGTCACTGCTGACCATTCACACGTCTTCAGCTTTGGTGGCTACACCCTGCGTGGCTCCTCCATCTTAGGTAGGGCTCTGCCCAGCTGCCAAGCGTTGCGCACAGGTGCTGCCGGCTCTGCAACATCCTGGCTGCAGCTGAAGGGCTGATATGGAGGTTTCTTGGCAGATTACCCACTATTGCCCTCTCCCCAGGTCTGGCTCCAGACAAAGCTGCTGACAATAAGAGCTACACGTCCATCCTCTATGGGAATGGGCCAGGCTACCTGGGTGCTGTTCGGCCCAACGTGAATGAATCCACAGCCAGTGAGAGCACAGGGACCATGGTCAGGTGGTAGGATGGGGCTGTGGGCCGCTGCTACTCCCCTCACTTCCTTCTCTCCCTTCCCCAGATGAATTCGACTACGTGCAGCAGGCAGCTGTGCCCCTCAAGTCAGAGTCCCATGGTGGTGAGGATGTGGCCATTCTGGCCAAGGGCCCCATGGCCCACCTCTTCCATGGGGTGCAGGAGCAGACCTACGTGGCCCATGCCATGGCTTACGCTGCCTGCCTCGAGCCCTATGTCGACTGCCACCAGCGGAACTCTGCCACTGCAGCCTGCACCACCCTCCTGGCCCTGCTCATCCCCACCCTCTTCCTGTTCCTCTTCCACTGACCCCACAGCCCTGCATTGCCCCGTCCCCACTGCTGCGGCACCCACAGGAGGATGGTGGCTTTTTGTAGCATCCCTGATCTGGGCAGGGCAGTCATGAGGCACCGTATCCAGGCATGGGGGGGCCCTACACCACCTGCACAGGGTGCTTGGTGTTTAATAAACATGGAATGTGATGCTACTGAGACAGGTGTGGTGTGGTGTACCATAGTCTTAGTGCTGTGTGGGTCCCCATGCTGTGCAGGCAGAGCTGGGGGTGCTGCCCGCTACTGCCTGTCCCCTCGCCACGGCTTCTTGCACCCACCTGGCATATCCAGTGCTTTATTGATCAGAAACAGCAGCGGAAAATACAGCGGGCATCCATGTCCCCGCGCTCCGGGGCAGGCTGGCATCACCCGGCCACAAGCTCTGCCCACCCACCAGCAGGGCTGATGTGGGAACAGGATGGGGCTGGCATGGGGGATGCCCAGGAGGGCACTGAGCAGGGGGAAGCTTTTGAAGTGGGGTAGCCCCACGATGTGGCTGGTTCACTCTGTCTCAACTGGTGCTGGGCTGGATGTAGTAGGGCTGGGTAAAGGATTTGGAACAGGTGGACAAAAGAAGGGGTACACGGGAGTCTGGGCATGCCCTCGTTCTTCCATGGGGACTCAGGACCCCCACAGTGTACAGGGCAGGGCGATAGGAAGGGGATGGGCAGGGGGCAGCTGCCTCTGCCCAGGAGCTTATGCTCACCCCAAGTGTCTCCCCACTGCCCCTACACCCCTGGCAGGTGCCTATCTTTGGGAGGGGGTGATCCTCTGTGTCACCCGGGGGTGCCCCCTTTGCCTGGAGAGGAAGAGGAGGAGGTGGGCAGAGGTGTGGAGCAGGCACAGGGTGGCAGGGATGGGAATGGGGGATGCCAGCCTGCGAGGGGGGATTGGCCTCACCACACTGAGCACTTGTGCGTCGGGTTCATGGGTGAGTTTTTGGGACAGTGGAAAACCCGTCCAAACTCCTCAAACTGAGAGACGCTGCCCAGGACCCTGCCAGGAGAGGGAGCAAGTCAAAGCTGGGCACACTGTGCCCCCCGCCACCGCCATGGGCCCCCGTCAGGCACCTGCTCAGTGCAGCAGCACCCATCCCCATGCCTAAGTATGCCCACCCAAAGCCTGCTGATGCCAGCACCCCAAAGGGTGCCCACTCCAGTTTGCACAGCATCACCAGCTATGCGGCAGGTTGCAACCCACCATTATCCTCCCCCCCGCCATTTTGGGGCCAACCAGTACCTGTAGTGCTCCGGGGCGTGCTTGTCTGTCAGCACCTGCAGGTAGATGGACTGGGATCGCCGCTTGATGCACCAGTTCTGCAGGAAGAAAGGTTCCCATGGGAGAGCCAGATGGGGCACCCTGGGTCCCAGCGCCCACCAGGCCACAGTTGCCCTTCTGGTTGCTGGGGTACTAGGACAGCAATGCCCTGGCTGTGCTTGTTGTTGTAGGGTCTTCTGGGAGCCTGTGTATGTGGTATAGATGGGTTGGGAGAGCATGGAGGCATGTTTGTTACTGTAGGGTCCCCTGGGATTGTGAGCTGCCTGGCTGTAGGGTCTCCTAGAAGCTTGAGGTCATGTGCAATTGTTACTGTGGGGTCTCTGGACGTGATGAGGGGGCATGTATTTATTATTGTAGGGTCCACAGGAGTAGTGGAGCAGTGCAAGGTGCTCCTTGCAGGGCTGAGCCCTATACCCTGAGCCCAGGACCTGATGATGCAGCTGAGCCTGACTCCTGACCATGGGAACGAGGCCCCTCAGGGCTCTCACCCTGTCCCCACACAGGGTGACACGCCTCAACTCCCCCAGTACATGCCACATGTGGGAAGGGCAGAGGCTCACCTGGGCAAAGGCAATGAAGAAGAGCTGGTCGTGTGTGTATTTCAGGTGGTGCAGAGGGTGCTCAGGGCCATGCTCCCGCACCCACTTCTGGTAGGCCTGGAGAACAGAGGGTGCCCTTAGCATGACCTGGGCAACCCCCCAAACCTGCCCTGAATCACCGCCACCCAAACCTCCCAGCAACCAGCAAGCCAGATCATGCCCACTCCCTGCTGCAGGGGTAAGGTGGGGCTGGGGGTGGTCTCATGACAATCCAGTGGTAATGCCATCAGCAGACACTCTGTGGCCCTGCCAGAGCCGTGACACCCTGTGAGGGGACACTTACGTAGTAGGCAAGTTTGAGCCCCCCCATGTCAGCGATGTTCTCCCCCAGTGTGTGTTTGCCGTTCACCTGCCGAGAGAGGAGAGACAATGGGGTAAGCAGAGATGCCCCCCCTAGCCAGGCATCCCCTTGTCCCCACCCTGGCACTGAGGCTGTGCCTCGATTGCTCCCACCCAGTGTCCAGAGGAATTTCCCAGCTGAGGTGTGATGAGTTGCTGGGTCTCAGGGCTGGGCAGGGTAAAGCCGTGCTCTCCTGCAGGCATCCAGCCCCAGCAGTGGAGCAGCAAGGACCCGCCATGCGGCAGTGTGTGCCAGGGCATTGCCCAGTGGGCGAGGGGTGTCTCACCCGCTGGTTGTAGACAGTGAAGTTGTCATAGAGGTTTACAATACACTGCGCCTTCTTCAGGAACTTGCTGTACGACTGCTCTGTCCACCAGTGCACCAGATTCCCGTGCCGGTCATACTGTCCCCCTGCCGAGGCAATCGCCACCACCGGTAACCCCAAGGGACCCAGGCATCCTGCCCACCCACATCCCGCATGGCATGAGGTGAGGGGTCATTCACCCCAGTCATCGTAGCCGTGGGTCAGCTCGTGCCCGATGATGGTGCCAATCCCACCATAGTTCAGCGACCTGTTGGGAAGGAAGCAGAGGTGAGAGAGTGAAGGCACAGTGCTGGCAGGGATGGCGGTGACCCCATCCCCTGCCCTGGCACCCTCAGCCATTTCCCATCCCCACACTCACTGCGGGAACTCGGGGTCGTAGAGGGTGGGCTGCAGTATGCCAGCAGGGAACACTGGGGACACAAGAAAGCATTGCAGTTGGGGGCACCCTGTCCTGTACCCACCCACAGCATCACCCAGCACCAGGGGCCCCTGCACCATGCCCACCACCACAGGCTTCCCCACACTCCCCATCCTGGGGGGCTGATCCCGGGGGGCTGGGCAATGTCTCACCCATCTGGTTCTTGTTGGGCAGGTAGTACGCGTTCAGCGCCTGGGGAGGCAGCAGCCACCTGCAAAGAGAGACGGTGCCAGGCTGCAAGGGCCCTGGTGGACCATGGAAATGCCACCCCCTTGAACTCCTCAGGGACAGGGGGGCACTCCCAGCTTGCCTTGTGCCCTTCCTGCCTACACCCTGTGGGGTGTAACTAGGCATGGGGACCAGCCATGCTGTGCTCCCATGTCGCCCCAGGGCAAGGGGATACCCACACAGACTTGTCCACTTCCTGCCGGATCTTCTTCACTGAAAGCCTGATGCCGAAGGCGATGCTGTTGAGGATGTTCTTGAAGTAGGTCTTCTCATCCACGTCAAACTGGGGGGCACAGCCATGTCAGGAAGAATGCCAGCCCCGAGAGTGTGGGAGCAGGGCTAGGGTGTCCTCCCACCCCTGTGAGCTTTGGGGACAGAGATCGTAGGGTTGTGGCCATAGGCTGGATGAGGCTGGATGTCATGCTGTGTGCCCACATGGTCAGCTGCATCTCCATCAACTCCATGGGGTCCCTGGGCCATGCTGGCATCCCCAGCCCTTGATGAAGATAGGGCTGAGCTCTGGAGAGTGCAGTGTGGGGAAGGAGACATCATCCCAGGCCCCAGGAACAGTATGGTGCTGCCTGTGTGGCTGCAGCCATGTGAGTGGTGGGCAAAATAGGATATCAGGAGATGGCTTGTTTGGGGGTAGCATCTCATCCTGGTCTCTGCAGACCCTGAGGCAGATGTGGGGACCATCTCCCCCCTCCACATGCCCATGACCCCACGTGGACCTGATCCACCCCTTGCCTCATATTCCTTGTCGATGGCCTCTGGGTTCCGCA